CTAAAAATTTAGCATTAGGCTTAAAAAAATTATGATATTTTTATATTTGGGTCCAAATAAGCCTGAGAAAATTCGGGCCACGCTTAGCCTGAATACTCGAATAATTTTTTTATTTTTAAAAAATATATAAAAATAATAAATATTAATTAATTATTTAAGTTTTAGATTATTTTATATTAAAATAATTTATATTTGATTCTTATACATATTTAAGTATAAAAATATATTTTATATTTTTTCTAAATAAAATAATTAATTTTAAAGTAAGAAAATTAATTAAAAATAATTTTTAACATAAAATTTGGATATTTGGGCTGCCCGAAGCCCGAATGAATTCAGGCAAACTTAACTATTCGGGCTTTTTGAGGAGTTGAGCTTATTTGATTTTGACTTATTCGGGCCGAGCCCAAATAGACTCGACCTATCCGAATTTTTAACTCTAGTTTTTTGCTTCTAAAAAAATAGTTTAAGGTAAAATCATTCCACTTAAAAGTATAGAGTACTCAACATTCTTAAAAAATATAATTGAATCTTAATTTTTTTTTTCAATTAAAACAAAGTACTCCCATCTCCCCCGTTTCGTTCTTGTTTCTGAGGGGGACAGCACGAAAATCACGATGCCGATTGATAAATAATTAAATTTGATTATTAATTTAACAACTTAATTTGGCATGAGTAGTTCAGACTATATTATCACAAGCATATGATGGTTAAAGTTTTAAATGTTAACTCTTGTATATTCTCTCTAATTTTATTTATAAACTATTTTAATATGTTTTATCAAAATTAAAAAAAATCTCTTAAATTCTTATTAATTTTATTTTAAATTTAACAAGTTTTTATTTTATTCAAAAAAATTAAGAAAATATATTAAAAATTAATAAATATCTTATAAATAGTATTAATTTTTTTCCCTCTAAGACCAAAGTATTTAACAACTTAGTTTTTTGTTTAAAAAAGATCACCTTATATTAACAGAAAAAGAAAACTAAGACAAAGTCAACAAGTTAGGGTGATAACGAGAGGAAGAAAGAGAAGTGCTGCTACGTGTGTGATTGTAACTGGTCTTTACAAAGTAACAACCACTTTCTTTCTTATCAAATATAACATATTTTTTAAAGAATTAAATGTTATTTTTTATCTTTTAATATATAATTATTATTTTTTTAAAAAATATTTTTATTAAATAAATCACTTTATATTTATTTTAAGGTAAAACAACTATTAAGTAAGAGTAAATATGTAAAGATAAGGTTAGTTTAAAGATAAATAATTATTTTATTAAGAGTAAAATTTAATTAAAAATATTTTATTTTTTTTTACTTAGTTATGAATTCATAAGGATGTATTTTCTATGAACTCATTTCTTCTTCATATTTTTTTTCTTTTAAAAATTATTCCAAATTTGACTCCCCCATTTCATCCATCCAGCTGTTCCATAAAGGACATAGCAAAATAGTGCCCTTTGCTAAAATTGATTTATTGATATGAAGTAGACCATATAAATTAAACACTTGCAAACTATATATAATCATACATATATTTTTAAAACATGATCTCAGCCGCACAATTTTACTAGATCGTCCCAATAATCCAAAATGACAAAATTAACGAATTCGCAATTGACTTGTTAAAGTTTTTGGGACATGGGTAACAAAAAAGAGCACGTGACATTAGAATTTTAAATCTCAACCCTTATATATTTGACAATTTAATTAAGATGATTCTATTAAAATTTCCTCGTATATCTCTGATCATATCAATAAAGCTGAGATGGATATAAAATGAAAAAAAAAAACATGTCTAGTGTGTTAATTAATCATAAGACAAAAATTAATGTTGTATATGAGGATATATCCTATCAGCAGACAAAATTTTTTTTTTCAGTCAACTATCTTGTAATTCTTGCAATCAAATGGAGATTATGATTGTCAAAGATTATCCCTTTTTAGCATGAAATTACACCCCGATCTAGTAAGAAAGTAGTGATCTTAAAAAAAATAAAATAAAGTAGTGATCCTTATTAACGAAGCAAGTTTTGGATCAACTAAATTACAAACTATGAACTGTGACAAGCCTTATATCAGCAAATTATATAAACAGTACTGTTTAGGCTATCCTTATTATTACAAGTATTTTTTTTTAATTAGAAAGGCAGATATTACTGACGAATCAAATAGAATCAAGATGAAAATTAATGAAAATAAACTACAAAAACTAAAAACAAAACACTATTATTTGAGTAAGGATATGTCCGGGAAATTAATTTCCTGTGAAATTTTCATCTCATTCTGAAAAATGAATAGCGAACTTTCATCGATCTCATCTTCTTCGACTCTTTTCATTAGAGAAGGTATACTAGAAGTTTCTAGTCCTTTCTCTCTTCAATTTAAAGTCTTATGATGTTTAGATGAATGGGTTTGGAAAAAGGTTTATTTTGTTCCTTTTAACTCCAAAATAGATATTCTTAATTATAATATATCTTACAACAAGAGTAAAAATTAACGGTAGGTACAAGATAAATGCTAGATTCCTCAGTTATTTACTTTCACCATGCCATTTTCTGGGAATCAATCTCGTCCTTGTGGACCACACATGTAGTCCCTAATAATGTTTTCCATTTACTTTCAAAGATTCTACGGACCCCGATTTGCATGCGCAATTTCAAGTTAGGCAGAAAAAGAACAAAACAAACAGATTTCACTGAACACGTTGTTTGGTGTACTGTTAGGTTTAAGTCAGGTGACACAGGTGGGTACGATTTAATAAAATACGAGTTATGAATAAGGACTATGATCCTTCATGGGGTGGTCTGTGCATGTCATCATTCTCATGCTAGAGTTCAAAAATTACAAAATTATTCCCTACATCGTTCCCATGTGAGTCGATCGATCTAGCTTTGTGCTTCACTCAAATTCAAAATAGAGTTAATATTTTGAGATAAAATCATAAAAAATAAACCTCACACCCAAATAGACCAATAAATAAAAATAAAAAAGTATTACTAAATGTAGTAATTATTTTGAAGTCTTTAAGAATTTATATGACATAATTGTTTTTCCCGAAATTGTGTCTTTCCCACCCTATGCAAAATAATAGGAAACAATTTGTAAAACTTAAATTGAAGTTGTTAATAATGAATGTAAAATTATTCATATATGAAGCATAGTTGTTAGTTTAGTTATGTAATAATAAATACACTTTATCTCATCTTAACAACTTCAGCTTTGTAAATAGTGATCAACAATTTCAATTTAGATATATATTGATAACACAAACGGCCATAACTTTAGTTTCCACGGCGACAAGTAAGCTTCTTGTAGATTTTAATCACTACGCTTCTATTATTTTGCAGAGGGTCAACAACATAATCTTTCAAAAAATATGTTAAATAAGTTCTTAGAAATTAATTATTTCATTTTGTGATACTCTTTTGTCATTTGTTTTTTTATGTCATTTATTTGTAATTCTTCCAAAGTAATACGTATTACATTTGATCCTATACATACAAATGTCTTCTAGACGATAATGTTGGTTTATTTTATGAGGTGTTATGCTGAGATATTAAATAAATTTTTGTACTTTAAAATATTAACAGTGATCTACTGACCTTGCGAGATGAGTTAATATTTTATGATTTAAAAAGATAAAAATGAACAAAAATATGATCAGAATATTTGAATTTTTCAAAATACAAGAGGACTACATATAGGCCAAAAATAAAGAAACTAATTGCTCGCAAGAACCGATTAGTTATGAATATTAAAGTTTAACATATAAATATAAAAATTTAACTTATACATATACCGATATTTTAAAAATCAAACTAAAAGACAAACCAAAATAATTAGGTTATAGTTGCCATGGTTTAACCAATAAGACTCGCTATCAAACCAATAATATAATAATTAAATAAAAAATAATATATAATATTTAAGATATCAATAATATTATACCCAATTTAAAGTTATTCAACCATAATATATTGAGCTTTAGTTTCCTTATTTTATACGCACACCCCTTCCAGTTCTCTTAAAATGATTAAATGAGTTTTCAATTTTTTCTATCATTTAATTTATATGATGCTAGTAAATAAATTATGTATTTAAAATTTTACTATGACAACCCAATGGAAGTTGACACCAAATTTTCCAAAACGAATACCCTTTTTTATTATTAAAATAAGAATAAAAATAAAAAATGATCACTTAGTTTAAAATTGGATAAAACAGGTCAATCCTTAAAATAGGTTTATCATTTAGGCCAAGCTGCTTTTACATTCAGATAACTATTCAGCTAGTTAGAGTCATTTCTTTTCTTTTCTTTTTTAATTGAAAGTTGAAACAATGCATTCATAGTCTAAAATTGATTACGCGAAGTTCAAAAATATAAGGTGATCAACTCATCACCGGCCAATTCTCTAGTGATAACTTGTTAGAATCTTAAAACACTGAAATAGATTGGAAAAAAAATAATTTTCTTATTTTAAACATGATACTTTATTTATTAAAAAAATATAATTTATTTTTAACTAAATTTCATCTTAATAAAATAATTACTTATTTCAAATAAATATTATTTTTATATATATTTAAATAAATTTTTACTTTAAAATAAATATAAAATAATTTATTTATCAAAAATATTTCAAAAAAATAGTAATTATATTTTAAAATATTAAAAATCCAACCTTTCAACAAATCACTGAATGGTGCAAGTAGTAATTATCTTTTAAACAAAGCCATGTAACAATTTTCTTCTATGCCAGTTAGATTAATTTTTTATAATTCATTTTTAATGTGAATTTGATATTTTAAAAAACAATTTTCTTCCATCCACGTGTAAATGTCTGAAAAATTTCGTAATTTTATAATAGATTTCCATGCCCTCTCCCTCTCTCATACGTCGCTTTCAGTCATAAATTGAGGAAATAAAAAAACCTCTACAGAAAAACACACTCTAGGGTCTGGAGTCCCTACTCCTTTCTCTTTCCTTAACCCCTCCACCCTCATCGAGCTCGAAGCATTATTATCTACTCACCGCTCTTCTCATCTCTCTCTCTCTCTCTCTCTCTCTCTGTGCTTCTCCCTCTTCTTCACCATCTTTCATGTCCCATTCTCTGTCCGTCGCTCTTCGATCATCATGGCCTTTCCGTTCGATGGATTCTCCATTAGGTATATCTTCTATGCCTCTTTTTTCTTTTCTTTATCCGTTCATTTATTTGGTTTTTTCCCGCTTTCAACCTTTGAATCTTTACCTTTTTTCTGCTACGAGCCAACGAGTAGAGGAGATATATTGTTCTACTGTGACTGTGACTTTTGCTGTTTCCGGTTTTTTATTCGGTGTGCAGAGAGTATACCTTCAAGATGAGGTCCGTTGACGTGTTGAAATGCTGGCCTTTTAGTATAACTAGCTCCGGTGACGTATCTAAGGAAGATTTGAAGTCCTGTCTTCCTCCCATGACAGTTCCCAAGTTCCGGCGGCGGTCCGACGAGCTAGATGCCGTGAGATCCGATCACGATGATCGCGGAATATCTGAGAAACAACTGCCGGATGGTGAAATTTCCATAAGCGAAAGTGAATCGCTGAAATCGGAGAAGTCTGTTGGCGCAGAGGAGGAGAGATTGGACATGGTTTGTCCGGTTTGCCGAGTTTTCAACGCAGCGACACTCACGGCGGTGAATGCTCACATCGACGGATGTCTTGCACAGGCGATGAGGGAGGAGCGGCGGCAGATGAAAATAATGAGTTTGAAGCCCAAATCGAAGGCGCCAAAGAAGAAGAGGTCCATCGCGGAGATCTTTGAGATGGAGGTGGAACAGCCGCGGATAGAAACTCTGTTCAAAATCTGGCCGTTCAGCAGGAATCCAGATGAGGTATCAATAAAGGTTACCAAGTTCCGGTGGTGGTCACGGCAGCTTGAAGCGCTGAGGTCTAATCAGTCGGAAGGTGAAAGTTCTAGAAATGAAAAAAACGAAATGGCAAAATCTGATGAGGAACGTGGGAGGGAGGAAGAGAAATTGGAGATGGTTTGTCCTGTTTGTCGAGCTTTCAATGCGGCAACGGTGACAGCAGTTAACGCGCACATCGACGGTTGTCTTGCGCAAGCGATGAGGGAAGAACGACGGCACATGAGGATGAATTTTAAGCCATCAAAACCCAAGGCGGCGAAGAAGCGGTCAATTGCTGAGATTCTCACGGTGGCGCCTCAGATAAAAGCCAAGAGTAATGAGTTGATTGAGATTGACAAAAAGGAGGAGGAAGAGAGATCTGATGTTGGTGATGATTCAAGTAGGCCTGCTGCTGCTTCTGCTTCTGCTGTCTTTGCGACAACTCATAGCAAGAGGAATAAAAACAAGAAAAAGAAAAAGATGGAAAGAAGATGGAAAAAGAAGCTGAGGAAAAGGAAGGTGGAAAAGCATAGTGGTGGTACCGTAACTCCGAACAATGATAAGGAGACTGTGAATCAGAATAAAAATAAAAAGAAGCAGCAATTCCACAACGGGTTAAATGCAAAGAAGGTACGTACGTGGTTTATATCTCATGAAATATTACCAATCTGACTGAGATAAGTACATAATAGTTTCTTGATTTTCAGCTTATTCATGGGATCAAAGGATGCCATTCATGAATTTTATGCCATGAAATGATAACAAGTGCCGTAGTCTTGTGTTGATAAAGATGCTTATGCCATACCAAAGCTTTTCTAGCCTTAAGTATATGCCTTTTCTGGAAGAACTTACTGCTTGATAACAGCTAGTTTAGAGAGACCTAATCATTTGTGGAGGAAAGTGAGGGGTATTTGGTTTAGTACTTGTCCAAAATACGGTATGACAAGGAAAAAGTTAACAAAGTCGAGGTAATTAAGGTTAGGGCTTCATGCGGGAATGGGATCAACGACTAATGAAGGGGTCCGCGAGGCGTGTCGCTTGCTCCAGCTGTAACCTGTGTATTATCAGTACTGCAGGCTGCCTGGAAGCTGACTAGTTGAGTGCCATGAGCCTATTGATGAGTGGGTTTTCCACTTTTCCTGCTCTCTTACTGTTGATAAGTTGTGGGGGTGAGTTATTATCATATGGGCCATGTGTATAGATCGACAGTTTCTCATAATTTCTGATGTCAGTGTCTCGGATACACATGATTAGGCATCGAGGAACGATATATGGAGTTTATTTTAGCCACACCGAATGTTGAGAATTTTAGAGATCATTTAATTACCAAGTCGATCGATTGGACTTGAAAGGACACGTATGTACGCTCAAAAGTTCATATTTTACATGGTAAATCGGTTCGATGAATGTCTCTGGGTAGGAGATGTGCCAAACCATCCGAAACTATGTACTGATCCTTTTGAGTGGTGCTGTGGATTGTCATCGCATGGACGTTATCCATTAAAGTTAGTTGGGCAGTGCCCTTCACCTTCACGATCGCGAGTCATGATCAATGGATTATCTAATCACGGTATAGTTGGCGTCATATCGGATAGTAAATGCGAGCCCCTTTTGATATCGATTTCATTCTCTGTCGCGAGCGATCATGAAGTAGTCTCTTGATATGGATTACCTGGATGCGCTCAGTATAGGAGTAATGATTTTTTTGCCAACAGTTTAGGATTAATGATTGTGCGTAAGTATAAATAGATAGGTTGGCCCAAAAAAAAAAAAAGCTTAAGCATATTTTGAGTAGATATTCATCCTTATCATCTATTTATTTGTGACATGATAATTAAATAATTCGTTTTGTTTTGAATATTTGAATTTTTAGATTTAGATTCATTTATATGGAAACTTATGAGTTTCAAATAAATAGATGATTTGTTGTTCAAATTGATATCTTTAGCTTTCAGTATATTAACATATATAATTAGAGGAATAATATATTCTCATCCTGCAATATTCTACTTGCTTAAAATGCTTTTCATGTTTTAGTAAAATTACAAGATTTGAATTAATTTCTTATTTCTTAACTCCCTCTCCCTATATATATATATATATATATATATTATAAGTAGATGGATGTACATGGTTACATTAGGTTGATATGTTAAACAACTTATAAATTGTCAATCTGAAAGTATTTTTTTCACATCTACATTTTAGAAATAATTTCATCTAGTTTGCTTGGAACAAAAAATCTAATTCCCTAAATTGCTTGTTTTGTCCAAATTGTGGCCATTATTCACTCCTTTATGTTTGATTATAATTGTCGTAAATAGAAGGAGCTGAATTGAAATTTCCCTTTTAATATTCCCTTTGCTAATATTAAAAAAAATTGTATATTTCGGACCTCTTGTAGAATATAATATATAAATATTATTAGCATAAGCTTCCATTACTAGTGTATATAATACGTTAACTTTATATTTATCTATACATAATCGTAGGATTATATAAGCATTTAAACTTTTTTGTTTTAAATCTGATGCAAGCAGGTTATATAAGCCTTTTTTTTTTTCGCAATAAAGTTTTATAAGCTTTTGCCTTTGCAGCTAAAAGCTTTTTCAAGCAAGAGTAAGATTCTTTTTTAAAAATCTTTATAATATTTTCCAAGATGTGGTAACTGAAATGCCTTCCCGTTTTTTTTCCCCCCCGTGCTTGCACGCATTACCTCGCATCGCATCCCATAAGTTGGACAATTTTTCTGTATATCCATTTTTAGGAAGTCGACACCAAAAGATTTATGGCATATTAAATATTGATGTTACTAGATTTAATTTTAATATCTATATTATCTTGCTAGTATATTGCAATTTAAGAGTACTGACGTTTTTAATTAATCTCACACAAAATCTGTGCACATGCCTGCCAAATTCTAATGATAGCTACTTGTAAGTTGTAACTGTTATAAATGTTTAAGACATTAAATAATAATAGCATCATACTATATCTCATTGTTTTTTACACGATCCAGATTGCATGCAAGGATGTTAAAATAATAATTAATGATAAAATATCAATTAAAGTCTTAAGTGTATTAATTTTAACAGTGAATATGGAAACTATTCATATTCATTATGATCATGAATCGTTGAATGCTTGAATAACAATTTTTTATTTGATAACATTAAAAAAAAGAAAAAGATAAGCGTGTTAAAAGAGAATACACCGTTCAAAATTAAGTCACTTTAATTTGGAGTCTAAGTTTGTTTAGATGGCTTGATTGCTTTTTGAACTAGCCTGAATTCCTTCAATATATTGTTGACCAGTCAATTAAATCTATTTTTTTCATTGCCTGAGGCATATTCGTTACTGTTATTTGATTTAATTAATTATTGTTATTGTGTCCTATTCTAAGAGAATGGTTTTGATCCTTTTTTAAGAATAACAAACTACTGTAATATATGGATTTATTTATCTCTTCATAATAAATACATCAAATATTATTAGATTGATGGCTTCTTCCATGCAGTCAATATATATAAACATTTCCTACAAGGACATATTAACAATTTTACATGGATTGAGGAATTTAGTTAAATAAATTAATGGTTTTAAAGTTTCAAAAATATCCTCAATGAAGTTCATTAGTTAAATCAGATTCTTTAGTTAATTAGGGAACATCAAAGCAAAGAACATTTATAAAAAGAGAATTAATGTTTAGATAGAAGATTTTATATTAACCAACTTAGCCTAGTGTAAGTGGTAGAGGCATTCATTATTTAAGTAAGTGGTTGGAAATTTAAATTTTAACCTTTGTGTATGTAGTAATTTAGTTGGAAGTAGGTATAACTTTTTCCCTCATACCTGGAGGAAATTATGCTTTGCTTTCAGTATGCTCACAAGAAATAAAAAAGATCTTAATGAATTAAGGACCATGGGTAAGTCTTGTAATAAGAATCAGAATGAGTAATTTGTAGCAACTGTCTGTGGAACATATATTTTTCGCCTACAACCTTGTACATCCTTATAATTTGATTGATCGGGTGTTGTCTTTGGTTTTGAATATTGTAAATATTTATTTTATCCTATGTAGCAGAATTTCCATTGCAAATGGAACTGATGTCCAAGCTGCAGAGCTGTATTGCATTCCTGTTCTTGGATGCTTGTAATCTGAGTCACGATGGATCATTTTGTCTTTAAACAATGAGTCTTAAATGTAGCCTACAATTTTGACAGTTAGTTGAGATTGAGTTCTAATGTAGCTTCTATAATTTTGTTAAACTTGTCTGTCTCAGGAAGATGCTTATAAGCGAAAAGTGAAAACCCCAGCCAAGAGTGCCAGAAAACAGAAAGGTATGGTTGGTGATAAAAGAGCTGCACTTGATGACATCATTGCATCTGTACATACAAAGAAAGCAAGTCTGAAGCATGCATCTGTTGTAAAGAAGCAAGTAGCAGTGCCTCCCCAACAAGTTATTCTTGAAAATTACTCAACACACATTTTTGGAAAGGCATCAAGTGGCTGCAATGTTCAGGATGATATTGAAGACAAACCTTGCGATGTCCAAGAGCAAATATCAGCCAGGCATGTGACGTTCTCTAATAAAGATAACATGCTTGATTCGAAAAAAAGAAGCTCGTCGGATGAAAGGATGTTTTCGCCAGACGGACATGCTGCTTCATCAGTAAAGGAGCAATCATCAACAAGTGATGAAGATACAAGTTTGGAGGTAAACGGAAAAGATGACAACCTGGCCTTTAATATGGACGGGGGAAAAGAGGTTTGTTCTATTGTTGAAAGTAAACAGTTTTCTACTTCTCCTGAACTAGTTTTTCCAAAAAATATTTTGAGGTCATGTGCTGATTCAGAGAAGAAAAAGCATTTGGTAGAGAAGACTGAATCATCGAGAGAGGTGGTACCTGATGATGATAATTTACACCTGTTTGATAGAGGCTACACAACTGCAGTACACTGTTCTGCACAATCTTCAATTTCCGGATCTCTTTCTGCACATCAGGCTGGGAACATTTCTGGTACAAATACTAGTGCGGGTGACTCTGGAGCTTACAGCTCCCCTGGAAAATCCATGGATCATCATGGGAATTCAACTCATCAGGTTTCTGCAACGAACTCTGATGCAAGCACAAGGACATTTATGCAGCCTTCTTTATTGTGTTACACTCAATATAGTCAAGGCAGTGAAAATTCTCTCTTTCCATCACAAACATATGGAGATCATAGCCAAACTTTGAGCAATAGACCTTTGTCTCGCATGTTTTCAGCAAATAGCTGCAAGGATGAGAACATCAGTTTGCCACTCAATTCTCAAGGTGAGCCAATTAATTTCAGTCCGCAGTGCGCAAAAAGAAAAAGGGGGATCAACCAGTCAGAGATCTCAAGCATGTTAAGAAGTTCTCCCAGCAGATTTCTCTTTGACAACATTGCCTATGGAAGTAGCCATGAATATTTAAGCATTAATGAGAGTCAGATTGTTCAGAAGACACTGTCACAAGATAGTGTAAACAAATTTCCTCATTACCCAGCCAGGTTAGGTGTGACAGAATTGCAATGTAGTGGGAGAGCAGATATACACCAGTTCAGTACTTATGGAAGTCCCAATCAGTTTGTCTTCCCACTTGATTCGGAGTTGAACCCCATAAAATACCCTTTCGTTGAACAGAATCAACATGACCAGGCGCAGAACCATAAGCGAAATGAGATGATTCCTCTGAAAAATGGTTCAGATCTTAGTTCACAAAGTTCCACCCAACCAACAATGCGATTGATGGGGAAAGACGTTCCCATTGGTAGAAGAATCAAAGAGGAGGTACACGTACACAAATTTGAGGAAGATGTATGGGCTGAGCAGCAATCCAGAAGAAGGCATTCTTCTACAGATTCTGCATTAGAAAATTCCCTTTTGGAGACATGTTCTAAGCACGATTACTTATCTGGTTCACCATTACAAATATCGTCTGAGAACATAGCACAGTCAGTGAAAATTCAAAGCAGACAGGCATTGGAAAGCAGCGCATTGATGAATGATCCAGAGTTTGAATTTCCTCAGCCGTTTCTTGATTTACAAACTAATCATGTACCCCAAACTGGAAGCCAAGGATTCAGAAAAACTGCTTATTCGCACACTCTAAGTCATGCTCATACTTCACGTGCAGCATTTAATAGGGCACCTCAAGACTCGCCAGAGCAGTCTGTATCTGGACTTGAATTCCAAGGACTTGGCTCTCACTTACAGGCACGACTTGCTACATGCAATTATAGCCAGCATGCTTGTCAAAGCTGTGGTGACCTCTATGACAGGAAGAAATTCCCTCTTGTAACAAAACCTGCTCTCGAATTTCCGTTGGTGCAGCCAGCTTTTGGAGAACATGCCCAAACATCCTGGTTTCAGAGCTCCAATAGAAGCTCACCACCATGGCTGTTCACACATGAAAGGCTGCCGTGGACCTCATCTCATACCGAATGGGGAGGTAGGTTCCCTACACCTGTAAATCACTTCTCAGTTCCAAGTTGTTCACCGGTAAATTACTGTCACATGGAGACACCCATTAGTCCAGCTTCAGCTGTTCAACATCCCCCTCTTCCTCGAACGCCTGCCATTAAACCTTCCTCAACTATACGTACTGGTTGTAGAAACAAAACTATGGTCAATGACAGAGTAATTTTAGAAGCCAGGACAACAAATGACCATCATTCGTGTAACAATGCTAGGAAGAGGCCTGCAGCTCATCTCCAGGGATCTACAAAACTGATGAAATTTAATAATGTAGAAGTGCAAGAGAATTTAAATGGTGTGCCTGGTTCGATTCAAGAGAGCTCAAGCTGTGAATTTCGAAGGACCACAAGAACTGCTGAAGTTGATCCACAAGGGGATGGTATAAGAAGTAAATTCTGTTGCCTCAATGAAGCTCAAAATGTAATGTCGAAAAGTTATCTGAGCTTGGAAATCTCAGGTCCTGGGAGACCAAGTCCAGTTACCAGGCATATCCTTAAACCATCTCCAAATCAGGATCAATCAAGGCCGAACAGTCCTGCCATTCCCGTTGCTGCTACTACTGACAATGATAAGGATCTAGATTTTCGGAGAACATTGACGAAAATATACGAATTTTAGGTGGAAATCATCATATCATACATATATATATTTATACATATATAACTTCAGTTTTGCCTTCACATGCGCCCACTTGTTAAACATAACGGAATCTAGTGGAAATTTGATATGATTCTTCCATCCAGCATTTTGTTCGTTCAGCAATGGGCATTTCTTTGTTCACCAAGTAACAATGTGATGATGATGCTCTTTTTTTCTTTTTCTTTTTCTTTTTTTTTTGGGAGTACATGAGGAAGATTTGGATACTTACCACTTGAGTTTTTGTGCTTTTTCTGGATCTCCTGACTCTGCTTGAGTTTTTTAATACTTTAATGAAGAGCTTGACATATAAAATTGATACAACGTTCATATGATGTACAAGAAAATTTTTGATTTTCGAGCAATTAAAAACCTGTTTATAAGATCTTTCTCCTAACGAGTACGGAAGACATTGCGAAAATATAAAGAAAAGAATCTAGTTTGTTTCTAAGGCCAATGCTGCTAATTTCTTTTCCTCTGCTTGTTGGTTGCAAGTCAGGCTCCACAAAATTTTTAAATTGCATTTGTTTTACCACTGCGTACAAATTCATGTATTTAGATATAAAAGATATGCAAAAAGATGTGTTTGGGATTGATATATATTCCATTTGTATTTATGCATTCATGAACTTTATGGCTATATCTCTTTTCTCTCAATCTTTTGTTGAATATATTGTACACATTTATTGTTCTCGATGCGAAGTGATTTTGCTTCTCCTTGATTTCATTAAGATTTATATTTATATTTGTTGAAGCTTTTAATAAGTTGAGACATTCTTTTATGTTTTTAGATTCAAGGTACTAGTATTTTCTCGTTATTAGGGATTTATAAAATCATCCATCGACGTTAATATCCAAGAGAAACTATAGTTAGTTGAGTAAAGGGGACTTGTTTTGAATTAAAAAAAATCATAATTGGAGGAGTCATTTTGGTTGAGTTAATCAAGCTTGAATTTAATTTGACAATATTTGATATTACTCTACCTGTTTAAAAAAATATAAAATATTTTTAGTATTTTAATTTTAAGATATAATTATTGACTTTTTTTTAAAGTATCTGTAATGAATAAATTATTTTATATTTATTTTATAGTGAAACACCTTATTAAATAGAATAAATATAAAAATATAATATTAGTTTAAATATAAGTAATTATTTTGAGAAGTGAGATTAATTAAAAATATTTTATTTTTTTTACTGGAGGGAGTAAGAATTAAGTAATTAAATCAAAATAAATAAAAATTATTGGAAGGTGCACTCATTACCAGTAATATTAATGAATATTGTAATTCTCATTTCACTTAATAAATAATGTAACTCACGTCTCATCATAAAATATTATTGGTGAGAGGGTAGGATTGATGTTTGGAATAATGTTTACAACACAAACCCACACACATAAAGGGTGAAATTGTCTCAACGGTCCCACCCATTCTGCTATTCTTAATCATTGTAAGCTACAGTTTCCTTGGATTTCGAAGCTTTCCTCCCTCACCCAGAGTGTTAAGAAAATAAATAAATAAATAAATATGGATAAATCAACTTGTAATTGAAGTTTGTTAATTGTTCAAAAATAGAAGAATTAAAACTTCATTCTTCCCTCAAGTTCTATATTTCAAATCAGAAAATGAACATACTATTCAGATTTTCATGACACTAAGGGAGGTCGTTGAAGTTGATAAATCATTAAAGTCAGAATAATCGAACTACAAACTCCGAATTAACAAACACTCTATCTTCAAAGCCAAACACAAACCAATTAAATCACAAAATAGACTAATCAATACACAGAGATATATGTAGAATGAGTGATGATTAAATGTTCAGTGCTTTCTTGCTTCTTTCTCAGCAGCTCTGATGACTCGCTCGAAGGACTCAGGGCCATAGGCATCGATGTAATGTTCAACAGCTTTTCTTGCATCGAAGGTCATCATTTGAAGCACCTCCGGATATTTAGAAGAAGAAGACGAAGCAGCATCGAAGCCAAGTGTTTGCATATTCTTGAGCCACTTTCTTGCGTAATTCTCGTATATGTAAGCTGCTCCGTTGAACATTGGCAGAACCAGCCACATGCATATCACCAATTTCACCACCGACCACAACGGAAACCTATAATCATGTATATATTCCCATATAGGCTCAAGTTCACTCACATTTATATGAACTAGTTTTGGAGGAAGGAATAAGGGGTACGTACCAAGCTAGGATTTTGTGAAAAGAAAGCTCAAAGAGGGTTATGAATGAGTACAAAACCCAGTATGTTAACCATTGCTGATCATCCAATGTTGAAGGACTCTCTATCGCCCTTATGGATGCATATCTGCTCATTTCAATTAATATATTGTCATATACAAACTCATTCTTATTATTTTTTATATATATTAATTTTGTAAAATGATTTATATTACTTACAAGGGATAGAGAAGCATCACTCCTGGCCTGTTATTACCCCCCCCCCAAAAAAAAAAAAACGTGGAATGTTATCATATGTGCTTGTTAATAGAGATGGCTTTAATCTGAGGGGAAAACGATGTAAGAAAGAGATGATGATGATGAGCACAGTACTTACCCTACTAATGTATCCAAATGTCTGGCCATTGTTCCAACGACACCCATAATGTGTAAGGAATGATGAGAAACTGTGTTTCTGATACGAAACTTGAGTTTAGGAGCTTTGCAGAGATGAGAGAGTGTACGTGGTTTGGAAGGTGATGACTTATATATAGAGATCTATAGATGAAGAAGATAACTATATGTATACTCGTAATGGAGCGTTGGGTTAGAGACAGAAGCAAAGAATTTGGGATGAAGACCCACAAAGTCTTCTTTTCTGCGATGCCAAGAAAGGACCTATTTGGAATAATGTCAAAAAGTTTTTGCAACCTTGACATTCTTTTCTTCTACTTGCTCTTCAACTTTAGAATCCTTTCCATCAATTTATAATCTTGGCTCACCCGTTGTATATATTTGCATGGAGTTCCAATTATTATGATTAAATTGTTATATTTTAGAAAAATAAGTATTATAAAGCTGAGAGAATAAATTTTTTGATCCTATTATTAATTTATGAGATATATCATTGACTTTTTGTCATAAGTATTTCTTCTTTTATTCCATTAAATATTATTGAGATAAAATTTATTATTAAATTGATATATTTAATAGAGATAAAATTGAACATATATTAAATTTTTGGATTACACTTACGAGTTTTAACATTTTTTTTTGTTTCAATGAAACATGTTAGATATGCTAGTCTTTCTATAAAAATAACTTAATTAAACTATTAAATAGGATTTATATACTTTTAATTGATTCTCCATTCAACCAATAAGAGATCAACTTTTTGATATGAATATCTGATTATATTGAAAAAGATATGAATATTATTGTTGGGCTTTTTTGATGTATTCTGATACAAATTTATAAACAGTACGGCATAAAAGTTTAATTTAAAAAATGACTATATGAATAAATTAGTTGAATATGTGTGTGTGTATGAATACGTACAAGATAATGTTTATGGAATACTTGGAAACTAACAGAGATATGTTACACGCAATTTAATTAATCCTAACATTTTTTATAATTAAGATGACCTTTCTTCAAATGATCAATCAACAAGATTACTCGTTAAAAGATATTCAAACTTGTACACGTGTAATCTCAACAACGGTGATCTAACCACGGTTAACGAAAGAAATTGGCCCTAAAATATTGGTTGGGAATCTCTGAAACTTCAAGGTCTTGTTTGGTTGCTAAGAAATAAAATAAAATAAAAAAGATTAAAAAAATAAAGATAAAAATGAAAAGACTAAAAGGAATGGTAAACTATATTCATAAAGGAAAAAGTTAATTAGTTCATAAGGTTGTGAATCATAATTCATAAAATTTTTTAAGAATATGATGATTTTTATATTTATAGTATATATTAATGTTTTATCATACTTATTATATTTAGTTGTTTTTTATATTAGTTTTTGTAATCCGTTTCATTACATTTTTTTCTAATAATCTAATAAGACTTAAACTTATTTTTAATATAATATTCTTCTTTAATCTTTAAAAATGGTGCGAGCTAAACCCTGATGTTAATAAAAATTAATTTTAATTGTTAATTGATTATAAAATGATAAAAAAAACCAATAAGATTTTCTTATTTTTTTTATAATTTTTTGGATACTTTTTGTATTATAATTTTTGCCTTTTTAGATTGTTTATTGTAATTTTTTAATATTTTTATAATTATATAATTTTTTCTTCTAATTAATTAATTGTTAAAGTTAATTTTTGTCGACAGGGATTAGATTATATCATTTTTAAAAGTTAAAAAAAAATATTACATTGAAAATAAGTTCAAAGTCTCAAATGCCCTGAAACATATAATTTTAGGACCCAATTTACCATCTAACCCTTAATAAAATTTTGAATCCAATTAATTATTAAGCCAACGGAACGTTGCGTCTCTTACACACCTTTTCTAGCCACGCAACAAAATATTTATATTCAGAATAGTATACATAACATGGAAGATAGTCTAGTGTTATTATCGTGCAAAGATTAATGTTACCAAACCTAATAGTAAATTTGGCCCAAAAAAAAAAACACTTATACGTAAATTACAGCCATTTATTATTTATTATTAAAAAGGAATAGTAACATCAATGCTAATTAAATATAAAACTAGATATTTGTATCAACATGAATAAGGTTAACAGAAGGAGCTAATTCTTTATAATATAATGAACTAATATTTAAATTTTTACTAAGAGAGATACTCATATGGAGTGTTGACAATGTTAACAAAATGATATTTGTAAATAATTAAAAACTAGATATTTGAGATATATAACGGAACTTAGCAATGTTGGATTCAAATTTGTATACTTTTAATGTTAATATTGCTCCCAAACTTAAATCCAAAATTTAATACGTGTATATTGAAATTAATACTTTCTTTGAATATAAATGAAACTCTTAATGGAATGTTTTTTCTTAATATGTCCCTTTTTTTATATATATAAAAGAAGGAAGCCATAGAACAACGACCCTTCGCAAGAAAAACAACATAATTCCTCCAAAGGTAGAAAATGAAGGCCTAATGGCATTGCAAGAGTATGTTTCGTAAGATTATTAGCTTTAACATTTTTGATCTCTGTGGATATAATCAAGATCAACAGTCCAATTATGTCGAAATAGATTTTGACACTCTTGGATCAAATCCCAATTTGCGTGAATATCACGATTCTGTATCCTTAATCAAATTCAAAACATCTAGTGAATCATTTCTCACTTCCCATAACAACCATCCCAAGCTCTTCATAGATTAATGAGACAAAACCCAAAGTTCATCTACAAGAGGATCTCCTTCAAAAATTTAAAACATAAAGCCTTCTAGGAGAGATTGACGATTGTCTTTAATAATACCCTGCAGCGTATATTATTACTGACATGCTAAAAAGTACCATTATCATGAATACTCACCCAACCTTTTAGCATTCTATGAGTATGAGGGGTTCTCATATCCTTGATGATACCCTTAATCTTCATGTGCCTTAGACTCAGTTGTGTCTCATCATAACTAAAAAGAATAGCCTTGACCCAATAAAATATTTGGTGGGTACATTGTATCGATATTTTCGAAAATGGTATATCATTTCTTCTTTTCCATAGGATCAGCCAACAAATAACTACAAATAATTCTTTTCATTTTCAATCCACTGTTCCCATTGTCGCAGGAGAATTCAAGTTCCCATATATTATAATTGAAAAAACTTGGGAGAATACTTGGTTTGATAATAGAATTGCACAATTTTTTTTTTGTGTGAATGGATTCCACAAGAATTTTATTTCCTCACAATCTTGAAGAACATGAAGAATATGTCCTCGATCAGTATTACAGGGAAAAGTCCTCTATCCCTCAAGCCTCAACTTTTAAAAATTTCTGCATCATATTAAAAAAAAAAACCTTAACTTTAGAGGTTATTTCCATGTAACCGACCTCAAAGATAAAATTTATTGTTGTTACCATAAAAATCTTATAGAAAGTAAAATATGATTTCATGTGAAATCTTTATTACATTGCACTTTACTTTGTATTATTTTTAATTTAAATTTTAGAAGTATCCATCCTATATATTTCATATTTTATTTTTTATACATATATTTTATTTTTTATTTAAAGGGTGAATTTGTCACTAAGCTTTTAATTATATATATATATATATATATATTCGCTTAGTTCTTATTATAATGCACATTTTAAAAAAAAATTTATCCTTAATATAAGGTATTTTATAAGATATTAATTAGGAGTATATATTTATAATATTATTTTTATTTAAATTCTTTAATTATGAGAGAAAGAATGCAATAAAAATTTAAATTTTTTATTTAAATAGGAATAAAATTAAAAGTTCATTCAATTTTCATACAAAGTTGTTAAGTTAATTTCCTTTTTTTTAATAGTTTAAAATATCTTATAATAAGGATGAATAATTGTCAAAATGTTAATTCTGGATTTTGCCATTTTGGTCATTTGCATATCTGTCCTTGCTAAATAATCAAATTACATTTGGCGCGTCTGAGCTCACACCACTGAGTGACCACGCCTGTCTGCTCGATATCCGGATTTGCCCATACGTACTTTGTGGATTGGGTGATTGGATCTCTCTCTAACCGTACCCTAATACTTCCTTCTTCCCTCAGTTCCTACATCGCTCGCATTACTTGTGCTTCTTCAGCCACCGTACGTCCTGAAAACCCTAATTTTCCCTTTTTGTTTCATTCTCTTCGTTTAGTTCTGTTTTCATGGCTTCTAATCTTTGTAGCTGACTTTAAATCTGTCATGGATCCGAGTCCGGATGCAATTAGGGTCGTTTTGCCCGCTTTTTGATTGTGTGCATGTATCTCGTTTCCGATCCGAAAACCACACCTACCGGTCATCTAACCCGATCTCTCAACCCGTTTCGAACCGGTTCTGTCGGGCGGGTTTGGATGGCTGTTATCATGTACCGAGGCGGGTCGACTCGCCATCGTTTCTGTATTTATTTATGATTGACGTTACTTAGCCTTGGCTTGGAGTCCGAAATTTCTGTGTCTCTGAAGAGCCGTGAATAGAATGTCTCTCAGTTACTTTGTCTTTGGAAAACAATGGCTACTAAAAATATCAATGAATGGAATATGTAGTTGAATTGCTTTTTGAGACTAAGCTTGCTCTTCGCAGTAGGGTTGGTGTGGTAGGATGCACTATTTTGATTGTTTGCTTATTAGCTTACGGGGTGAACCTATAGGTTAGGCTGGTTAGCATGCAGTTGATAGCCTATGAAATTGAATAAAGTCTTAGAACTATATTCATTTTGGGATAACAAGGACAAGTTGTCTTGATCGATGAACTCGCCGAGAACCTCTGAATAATTGAACTCAGCATGAAAATCCGTCCCGCACTTGTCACAGTAGTTCCTATGTGAAATAATGAAATGAAAATTTATAGTGCTAATCCAAAAGCAGCTTTTTTTTTTTTAACATTTTAAAATAAAATCCTCTTCTTCTGTAGTATAACAGTGGGATATTTAGTTGCTACTAATAGTTTGTGTTTCCTCTATGAAATTTTTTCAGAGAAGTTCTTTGTGGGTCTTTGATACTTGGCAAAACTTGTATGTTCGTAATCTTTTTTTTTTTTTTAATTTTCACTTAAATTATGTACTATTCGGGTTGTATATTGGTTTTGAATTGTTGGTGTTCTGTAATTGAAGTCTATATATGAATTATGTTTTTCTAGCAACTTTTTAGGCTTGAGAAAGATATCGAGTTAGGTTTATATATCGTTTCATCATAAAATCACTTTTCTTTTTCTTTTTCCTTTTTGAAATAATTTAAATTGCCTATGCACTTATAATATTATGCGCTCAGAAAAGGTGCTCTTCATAAATATACAATGTATGTCCCTTGAAATGGATACTATTTGAAATATTCAACGGCCATGTATTGTGGCAGGTTCATGCAATGGATATGTCAGATGCTGTAGCTGCCAAATCAAGTCGATTGAAGTCTGTTGTATGGAATGATTTTGACAGGGTTAAAAAAGGTGATGCATATGTGGCTATATGTAGGCATTGTAAAAAGAGGTTGAGTGGATCTAGTAGTAGTGGAACATCTCATTTAAGGAACCATTTAATCAGGTGTCAAAGGAAATCTAACCATGGAATATCACAATGCATTGCAGTAAGAGACAAGAGAAAGGAAGGGGCTCTTGCAATATCAAATATCAGTTTTGATCAAGATCAGAAAAAAGATGATGACCTTCACTTGTGAACATTAAATTTGAGCAGGAGCAGTTAAAAGATGACATATTCAGCAATGGAAACAAGAACTTTGATCGAAGACGGAGTCAGTTGGATCTTGCTCGCATGATTATTTTGCATGGGTATCCATTGACTATGGTTGAGCATGTTGGTTTTAAAGTATTTGTGAAAAATCTTCAGCCACTGTTTGAGCTCATGACAGTGAATAGCATTGAGGCTGACTGTATTGAGCTTTATGAGAAAGAGAAACAAAAGATGAATGAGATGTTGGACAAATTACCTGGTAAAATCAGCCTTAGTGCTGATGTGTGGGTGGCTATGGGTGATACTGAGTATCTGTGTTTGACAGCAAATTACATTGATGAATCATGGCAGTTAAGAAGGAGAATCCTAAATTTTATCATGATTGATCCTTCTCATACTGAAGACATGCTTTTGGAGGCTATTATGACGTGTCTGATGGATTGGGATATTGACCGTAAGTTATTTTCCATGACATTGAACACTTGCTCTACCAGTGATAACATTGCCAAGAGAATTGGTGAGCGCCTTTCACAGAATAGGTTTCTTTATTGTAATGGTCAATTATTTGATATACGCTGTGCTGCAAATATTATCAATATTATGGTTCAGGATGCTTTGGGGGCAGTAAGTGAAATAGTCAATAAGATTCGAGGAAGTATTCGCTATATCAGAAGTTCACACACTGTACTGGAAAAGTTCAATGACTTGATTAAAGAAGTTGGGATCCAGAGTAAAAAGTACTTATCTCTGGATAACCAAATGCAATGGAATTCCACCTATTCAATGCTTGAGACTGCCTTAGAATTCAGGGATGTCCTTACTCTTTTACAAGAGAATGACAATGCCTACAGAATCAATCTTTCCAATGTAGAGTGGGAGAGAGCCACTGCAGTCACTGGCTACTTGAAGTATTTTGCTGACGTTACAAATGTTCTCACAAGGAGCAAGTATCCAACTGCAAATATTTACTTCCCTGAGCTCTGTGATGTAAAGTTGCAGTTGACAGAATGGTGCAAAAACTCAGATGAATGTATTAGTTGCTTGACATTAAAGATGAAAAGCACGTTTGATGAATATTGGGAGAAATGTAGCTTAGGTTTGGCAGTTGCAGCAATGTTAGATCCTAGATTCAAGATGAAATTGGTAGAGTATTACTACCCGCAAATCTATGGTAGCACTTCCACAGGTCGCATTGATGAGGTCTTTGATGGTGTGAAGGCCTTGTACAATGAGCACTCAATCTGCTCCCCATTAGCTTCTTCTCATGATCGGGGATTGGCCTGGCAAGTTGGGAATGGTGTACTTTGCTTACCAGGTAAGGACTCGAGGGATAGATTGATGGGGTTTGACAAATTCCTCCACGAAACTTCTCAAGGTGAAGATATGAAATCAGATTTAGAAAAATACTTAGAAGAACCTCTCTTTCCACGAAATGTTGATTTCAGCATATTAAATTGGTGGAAAGTACACACTCCTAGGTATCCTGTCTTATCCATGATGGCAAGAAATGTGTTAGGGGTTCCAATGTCAAAAGTTTCACCAGATTTGGCATATAATATCAATGGAAGAGAGCTTGATCGCGATTGGAGTTCACTTAACCCTGTCACTGTTCAAGCTTTGGTGTGTTCACAAGATTGGATACAGGGTGAACTGGAAAGTTAATGCACTGTTTTCCTTCTGCCTTCTGACTTGTGTTGATTCTTCACTTAAGAATTTCCTTTGTAAGTTAGATCTCCTAACTTCTCAAGTCAGTTGTCCTTATTATCATGTCCTATTCTAGTTTTGTCCACCCATTATGCATCGAAACAAGTTGATTTTATAAATCTTATTCTTGGCATCTTTTATTCTTTTTTTAAATTGTTTTGGCGATCTCTTGCATCTTGTGAAGTCTTCCGGTTACCTTTAGAAACATATTCTTAATATGCCAAGGGATATCCTGGTGTTATACAATTTATCCCAATTACCATGCACCGAAATGTCAATTGATCTGCTTAGCCTTCTTTGACTGAAGTCCACTCTTGGCCTTGTTGGAACTTCTGGATCCCAGGCCTTTCTATGGGGTTTTGGAGCTCCATAGATATCTAAAGATCGGAAGAACCTCCTTCCATATGGATTCAGAACGAGTTTGGATACCTATTTGGTGACAATCGCAAATACCTTGTCTTGTTGAGACCCCCATAACAAAAACAGGATTTTGTCTCCCCTGTACATCTATATCATAGATGCATTGCATTCCACCTGCTTTATGAACCTCCATAAACATTGTTGTGAACGTCAGGTCTCAGCCAAGAAAGTGGTGTCTGGTTGGGGTGGCCTTTAATCAGGTGCTGAAGTCGTAAAATTATCGAGGGGCAGCTAAGGTCAGATCCTTACTTGGTATTTTCACAAGAAAAGGATTCCATTTTTTTATATGTCTACCATGTCTCTGCCTTTGTAATTATGCTCAACAATTTCTGTACATTCTCATTAAATTTCAAAATGTATATGAGCATATTTTTAATCGCTAAGGTTTTTTTTTTTTTTTGATCGATTCATTTCTATATTTGTACATCGAAACAACGGTTGTAATTATCTACAGTGTCTCAGGAGACAGATATGGGATGGCTAGTTTTGAATATCGTCGTCTAGACGGAAAAGAGGAAATAATTTCCTCTGTTCATGTGATCTTCAACCCCATTCTTCCGTGGTGACTGGTTTGTGTTCCTATCAGTAGGAGTTTGGGAAATGCCCGTCCCATATGGGCTCAGGTTTAAAAACTCTTAATTTAAATTTGATCGTTTCCTAAAATTTGGCCATTATTAATTGGGCTCAAGGTTGTACCTGATTTTTTTTATTTAAAAAAATTAAATTTCACATTATTATATTACATATCTAAGTTCTAAAGAATAAATTAAAATTTTCTGAAATTTAAAATGAGTAATTATGTAAGTTAATATTCAGCCATAATCTACATTAAGTTGGATAGTTAGTTAATTAGATAAATGGGGAAGGTGGTCATTGAAAACAAATCCTAAAGGAAAATGACTAAATGTTACAAAGTATACTGGGGATTACTAGATTGTTCGCTGAAAACTTCCATTACAATGATCATCACTCTCTCCCTTAGCATTTCAATTTTATTTTTTAAAATAAAGGTTAACTTAAACAGGTAGCTTGAGTTTGAATTTATTTTTTGAGCTTATATAGATTAGTTTCAAAAGTTTTTATGCAGGTTGGGCCCAAAAGTTTTTATGCTCTTCATTTTCAAAGCTCAAAAGAAAATGAGCTGAGTTCAACCAAAGTTGATGTAAATGACAGAAGTTCTCTTCATTTAAATATGTGGTTGAGGGTTTAACTTTTGCCTTTGTGCATGTACCAATTTAGTAGTTGAAATTTACCCATTACTTTCAGTAATTTGAAAGAGATATTTTTCATTGTTGGGGAAAATAACAACGTCACTTCATGTTTCTGGCCCTCCTTACCAACCTCAATTGTGCTCTTATCTCAATTGTGCTAATTGTTGATAGCTCATCTAGTTTCTCAATTTTCAGGGGCAAACTTCCTCAGATTTCAAACTAATGAAAAGGGGCTACACAACACTTGAGAGACACGGAAGTTGCATCCCACCAGAAAAAAAGGGATTCAAGTGCAATCTGTTTTCATCCAAATTGGAATACAAAGCCAATTGTCTACAAATTTGCTGAGTTAATGATAAATTGTAAATTTGTTAAATTTAAGATTTAATTCCAAATGAATATATAGCTATCAAAATGGGAATAAGCATTACTCAAAAAAGAGAAGAAAAAAAAATGGTGGTACCCTATGTGCCCAAAATTTCACCAGAAAAAAAAAACCTCAGATGAACTTTCAAAGATATATGGTGATAATAGTAACCAAGTGTTTCTCAAAGATTCGTCCAAGACCTGTACAACAGTAAAACTTTCGGAGAAAACTAAAGAATGCTATACAATAAAAATGTAGATAAGCATTTCCATCATGTAACTTACAGAAATCAGAATACTAGGATCACTAAGAGCTCATTCATATCTGTCTCGTCTGCGACTATTATTGTGCTTCTAATTTTAGCAACTGCATTGTGGCTTCACCAAATTGCTATTTATGAACATAAAATAACTTACATCATTCCGTGTTGGACGTATAAGTCAGAGACTGAAGGACCAAACCTTCTTCCCTCTGATCCATCAGTATATCTTGCTCAGTCTCTTGAATAACTATATTCACATCTTGCTCCTTGAAAATTATCTCCAATTTTGAGTTTTGCTGCTGAAAATTGATGGCGAAACTCAAATAGGTGATTTTTCTTTTCTGGATCAAAGTGAACTTAGTCTCAAATGAATAGCAACAGTGAAAGAACTTAGCCCCTTCACCAAGTGATTCTACATCTGCGAATAAATTTATCTGACAAATTTACATATCTGTTCCAGAAACTACGAAATTGTGGGAATCCAATTTCAAGCCATGGCTTTGCAGGGCCATTAAAATGGATAACAGCAGCCGATTGCAGTTTCTCTACGCTGATTTCTTCTGATTGATAGCGATAACCTAAATCAGGACGAGCCATTTTGAATCTATAGGATGGACATGACCCTCAAAGGCAATCAAGGCTGGTGGAAGCACTCCTGGGTTCCATAATTGTAACCCAGACCTGAGGTTCTGGGGAAATAGATAATATACAGATAATAGTCCCATGAGACAACAGAACGAAACAGAAAAAACATAAACTAGTTCTCTGTAAGAAAAAGATATGTGTAAACAAAGTGTAATTTATTGTTTGACTTTAGTTATTTTGTTTCTAACAGTTCTATAATGTCATCTTGGTTTTCAAAAGATGACCTCAGTCTCATTTTGTTTCTTGAAAATTATTTTTGCATCACTCTAGTATTAAAAGTCCAATTCGGCTCAAATTTCATCCTTTCTGAGATATATCAGCAATACTGTACAATTTTTTTAAGGGATTAAAGTAACAAAAAAAGATTTTTTTAAAGAGTTGACATTGCTTGTAAAAAAAAAAAGGATCATATAAGTGGAGTGTTGGATTCAGGTTTTGTAAATGAAGAAAAATGCATGTTAGGAAGAGTTTCTCCTCAATGGATTTGCTTAGCTGGATTTAGATGAGTCTAAATTCAATGTGACTTTTTAGAGAGACTTATTTCAAAAACTAGTATAGGTCCTTTGTATTATATGGAGTCTCAAGACTTAAGCTGTGCTGTTCATAACTCATAAAAGAGCAGTTTGTAAGAGTTTTTATACTATATATACATATATATATATAGATAGATATATAACCTTTCTGGAAAACAATAAAACTAGAGTCATATTTGGAAGACCGAAAGAAAGTTTCGTCCTTAAAGAAATGTTTATGGTTCTAACTTCAGACGTATGAAGATGTCAATAGAACAAATCAAGTGGAGTCAGGCATACTTACAAGCTTCAACCATTGAAGGTAAGTCTGAGTGATATTTGTTCTTCGCCAAGCTTGAAGATCAAATACATTGATGCCATAGAGCCAAGCGCACTGATCAGGGTCAAAGTAGGATGATATGAAGGGATGTGAAAAGTTGAAGTAGTTTGTATATTTACTGTCAGAGCAACAGGTGTTTCCATCTCCACAATATGACTTGAATACAGAACCACTGACTTTGCCATAAAGATCTAGCTCCCACAATGAAGAGATGTCGTGTTGCACGACAACATCATCATCCAACAACACTATCTTGCTGAGATTAGGAAACAACTGTGCCAAAGGGCAAAACAAAAAGGAATTTAGATGATGAAATCACCATTGTCTGGCATTTGGAATTGCCATTAGTCAAGCAGGTGGCTACTTAAATACAAGATATAAAATGCTGATTACACATTTTTGTCATTTAACAATCTTTTTTATCAATTTTTATTCAGAGACTAGGTTATATTTCATCCAAAATTCCTCCCCCCTTTTCATTTTGGTCTCATTTGGTTAGAATAATGAAATATCATAGAGAATGGAATTAAAAAGCAAAATATAAATAATTTATAAAATATTTATTACGTCTTTATTATCACTACCTGAGGATATATCTCCTTTGATTATTTTTTTTAGTAGAACAAGAGACCCATTTCTCATCTCAGTCTCATTTTCTGCCTTTTAATTTCATTTCTCAATATTCTATATACTGAGCATATTTTTTGTACGTGTACCCAATGAAGCTAAGTAGAGTTCATTTATACAATTTATTCCAACAAACCTATTAAGTTGTAGCGAGCTACATATTGAGAGAGACCAACTCGTACAGGAAAATAAATTAAAAACAATAAGATTAGATCATTAATTTAAAAAAAATAATGACCAAATCGTGTATTTACTTGGAAAAAAATAATTAATTACCTCAGGGATATACATTCGAAGATGATTCATCAGGGAAAAGCTGCTAGGCCTTAAAGCTGCCAAGAATTTGCCTTGCTCCAAACTATGACCAATCTCTTTTTCTTTAAACTTCTTGTGGAATCTCTTCCCAATTTGGTGATTAACTTGCATAATCTCTTTAACATTTGCGTTCACTTCTTCGGACCAGTCACATTGGTGCAGTCCCCTAACCTCCAAAACTGATGGTTCAATAGAATTTGTGGCAAACCAAGCATGCATTGGAGTGTAAGTTTTCTTGTCTGTAACGACGTGAAAGACTAGTTTTTCAGGGTTGGCTACATTTTCAATTACGGAGGCCACAACAACAGAAGCAGCAAGGACATTATCAGTTATGAGAACCAGATGCTGAAAACTTTCACTAACAAGGCGAGACACGTATTCAGGAGGAGGCAGACGAGATCGTGCCATGGCATTTACAGAATATTCTTCAGCTAACTTGAGAGAGAGACAGTGTAGGGTTTTGGGAACACCGTGTGAAGCTAAGTGCCAGAAAATTGATTCTTGTTGCCTGGCTAATTGGACCTTGTGATCCATCTGTGATAGCTGCATAGTTAAGAGAAGAAAAGGTGGAGTTAATGAAGATCCATCACTCACGTCCTCATGTCAATAATCTGCGGCTCATGGAAAACAAGATAATGTAGCAAACTCAGCTCCTTTACACAGGCAGTTCTTGAGTATAGTGCAATTTTTGCCTCAATTTTCTCGTAAAGCTTATTTGATCTATTATATAATTAAATATCTTTTGAGTTTCGTGAAAAAAAATACATACTTGTCTTTAACTTTAAAATATAAACATATTTCTCAGGAAACAAAAAAAGTTACCTTAAGTTTTAGTATAATATATTAATAACTTGTATGCATATTTTTTTTTTTAAAAAAGACAGTTAAATTAGCAATGGTGGGGTGAAATGCAGATAGGATGCATGTTGAAACTCTCTAATGTAACGAAGAAAAATTAAAGTGCAGAGATGACTTTCTGTCACATGAATATAGCAGCCATTGTGATCTACACAACGGACATCAATAGCATAATATGCGAGAATGACATTTAAAATGAGACCAGTATTAATTAGCATATAATGAATTTCACAGAGATA